AAACTGATACATGAGACTTTAATTAATTAAGTTTTGTTTGGTGCATAGACTGATATTAATTAATTAATTAATAATAATTATTATTTTTTAAATCATAAACATTTATCTTTTGATTGGTTGTAGACTAGGCTTGCTTCTAGTTCTAGAATTAGAAAATTGAAACATGCATTGACTAATTAATTAAATAGATATAAGGATTAATTCAAGATTTTAATAATTATCGGGTCGATCGTGTAGAACAAGATGGAAGAAGAAATTAAGCATCTGTTTGACACCACAAACAAGTCTTGAAAGTCAAAGTTCATCATCTTTGTCTGTGTTTCACAAATATGAACTTGAAATTGAAATTCATCTTTTTTTTTTTTTTTATTTACATTTAACTGTCGAGTATTATTTATTTATTTATTAAGAGACTCAATAGGTCAAATAACATTATAGACTATATAATACGGGTAACTCTCTCTCGTTTCACTAATTAGTAAAAATTTTTATAGTCGAAAGGACTAGAACTCAAGACCTCCAAATTTTATTACACTTGATTGAAAACTTTATTTAATTTTTGTTTATACTGAGTAATAAATTTTAACATTTTTGGATAATGCAAGTAATGATTTGGGGTCAAGATTCAATTTTAGGTTTCAAGTTTTATCAGAACAGGCCAAGATTCGTTAATGTGTCCTTATTGTGCAAAAATCAAAGAAATTACTTTGTCTAAATTTACACGTATGGTATCTTGGAAAAATATAGTATTGTCTTGTTTCAGGCATGGTATGTATATATATATATATATATATATATTTCATGAATTCTACATCGTCAGCTTGCTTGTAATTGTAGTTGTAGGTCTTCGATATGTAATAAGGACGTTAGGTTTTTCTTGTAAAATTAGGTTTTGTTCGTTTAACTCATTTTTTCTATTCCACTTTCTTGAAATATGCAAATTGCATATTAATATATTAATAATAGATTAAATATATGCTCTTATCCATAGTTTTATCTTGGATATTTTTAGGAGAAAAGATTGCATAGGTTTTAAAATTTTAAATTACATAAAATATTTTGGAAAAAAAATTTAATTAAATCGGATTCCCGATTAGGATAATTAAAGATTCTATAATATTTTTCTTAATTACAGAATTTGAACTATTTAATTTTATTTCAAAAAATATCTTTTAAATCTATTTTTAATTAAATAATGGATTGTGAAATTTATTAATTATTCATTCTATATATTTTATAAAATCTAAAGATTTCATGTTCCATCAATTCAATGGATGGATACATGCACCGCGAAGGATGAGTATTTTTAAAATATTTTAGTTATAACAGGAAATTGAATTTTGCGGGTTCAGAAATAAAAGCCAAACGGAACCTAAAAACTGAAAGGGCCATTCTTGTAAACTGTTCGAGGAGTTGGTGGAAATTTGACTTGGGTAGTTTTACGGTGGACCCATCGCATCATATCATCTTCTAGAAGCCTAACTATTCACGAATCACGATCAACGTCCATCTCATTCTCACCCAAACATAGATCGTATGAATTTTAAAAAATTTTAGGAAAAAAAAAAAAAAAAACTAGGATTTGATTTGCCAAGAACATTCCTTCATTAATCTATATTTAAAGCTATGTTATTACATCGCTAATTTCTTTTCCTAATTAGCTATCTAATTAATCTAGGGTTAGTATCTACTTAATTATATATCTAGTAAATTAACATGTTTTTATATGTTAATTAATATAAATATGGTATTTAATTGGTAATTTATAACATTGACTTATAGTTGTAGGAATATATATAATTTGATAGAAAGAGATATATTGGCTAGAGGTTTTGTGGTTTAGCTTCTGATTCCTTCCTTCCTTCCTTCGCTTTTTTTTTTTTTTTTTTTGACTTATAAGTTGTAGGAATATATAGTAATTTGGAATAGAAAAGAGATATATTAGGCTAGAGGTTTTTGTGGTTTAGCTTTTCCTGAATTCTTCCTTACTTCCTCGCTTTTTTTTTTTTTTTTTTTCCACAAATAATAATTTTAAAAATGATTTTTTTTTTTTTTTTTTTTTTTTTTTCCACATATATAATTTTAAAAATGATTTTTTTTTCTTTCTTTTTTTCTTACATAATTGTTATACATGATAATATATGTACGTACGTTGCACTTGCCATTCTTTCTGGTTCATGAATGTGAATTCCAAATTGTTTTTATTCTTTCCAATTAAAAAACGTTTCTGTATCTTAAATTCTTATTTTCTCATGCAAAAATGGCAGACAGACACAGACTCCTGCCTTAAATTTTCTACGAGAATGATCTGTAGCATTAATTAATTATAGAATATTTGCATGGTTTGAAATTTCATCGTCCTCCATATACTGGTTTTCTAAAATCGACCTTTTACTGACCCATTTAATGGTTTCATTTTTCAACAATGTGACTCATGATCGCAAACAATATTCATGTTAAAAAATTAAATTATGGTTTAAAGAATAAAGAACAAGCTTCATCAAGTACAATTAATTAACTGATTTGAATTAGACATGGATTGTTGGTTCTCTATTTATTTTATATTTCTTATATATTTTTTAAAAGAATTTTATGTTTCTTATATTTGACTATTGCATTGATAATGTAGTAATTGAGGTAAGGAGGTTAGTTTTTTTTCTCCCTCTTAATCTAATAACAGTAAAGTAGTAAAAATTTTTTACTGTTTTATCTTTAGTTTTTCCAATGAATGATCATAAATACCATCGATTAAGTGAAAAACTGTTTTTAAATTTTTCTCAAAAATTAAATTATTGGGATGACGTAGATGAGACTCCTTCTTCTTTAATTAGAGATTTCAAGTTCGAGTTTTGAGTATTTATATACGTATAGATGTTAAATTTTAGTTTGTCAAAACAGTTATATGCAAAAACTGACTTTTGATGTTATATTCATTTTCTGTTAACTAGTAAAGATGGAAGTTGGTGGATGATGTTTGTCAACTATTTTATTTATTTATTTATTAATTAAAAGGAATAATTGTCTTACGGGACAAGTTATTTAATTTAGTTGGATAGAGATGAATTTCATACCTAAGGAAGAGAAATATATATATATATAAATAAAAAATTTCCACATGCTTTTTCTGTCACAGTTTAGAACGACCTGTTAAGCTATATTTTTGAGGTTTGTTCTGAATCAAGATGTTATATGTTTAATCAGCAGTTGCTCTTTTACATTAAAGGAAAACAAGATATGCTGAAAACAAGGAAAACAAGATATTAAAGGAAAACAAGATATTTATAATCCATGATAATGACTTAATTAGTAATTTAAAAAAAAAATTAATTTTGAGATTATGTTAAACTGTTTAATGCATAAAAGCGTGGATTTAAAAAAAAAAAAAAACAAATAATGACATAAGTCAGATCAACATTATCATATGCTAATTAATGTTATTAAAGCACGATTAACATCAATTTGCATGTTAAACGTGAGTTGAAAGGGATTAAGATAATTAATTAATTTATAGTATTATCAACATCAACGGTTTATATAATATTCTGAAGTTAATCTCCTAATTAATTAAATTCTAAACCTTGAAGTTAAACTCTTTATTAATTACTACATTATAAGATTTTATCTTATTAGAATTACCTAGGCTAGTTAGTGACACTCAGGTCTATTAATCTAATCACTGAGTCTTCAATATGATGATTAGTTAACATAATGTGTGAGTTAAATTTTTTTTTTTTTAATATAAAAAAAACTCTAAAAGGACTCCAAGGATTAAATTTATTTAAATTCATTTTAAAAAATATATATATTCATTGACGTGGATTTCTAATCTAAAGGTTAACCCTTTGAGTTGATAATTAGCTGTGTGTCATTGTTTAAAGCTAGAGAGAATAATACAATTATTAGTGGATTTGTTAGTTAATAGTATGTTAATAATTTCATGAGTTTCGAATTCATGCCTAAAGAGTGAAGAAAGGGGCAAAAAATATTTGGAGGTGAATTAATTTAAGATTACTACTTTGAAGCCAACCTAGCTAAGTTGTCTAATTAATCCAAATTTTAATCAAATTTTACCCAATTTGTTAAGACATCTAGCTGGGAATAAGCTCTTTGATTTGGATTAAGGATTTGTGTTAAAAAATAAAAAAATCGACAGTGAAAAATTGATGGAGTTATATTATACTCTTTCCATCCACTTGTATTTATTACTTTTAAAAATTATTTTGTTTAAAATTATTCGTTTTGAGAAGATTAAAAAATTAATGAGGTATTTATATACTCCGCTCGTCCATTTTTATCTGTTGCTTTAATGAAATTATTCTATTTACTGTAGTTTTACAAAATTAAAGAGTATTAATTAATTTATTTTTTAATTTTTTTTCTCGTTAAATTTAAGTAAAAGATTAACAGAGAAAGAATTATTAAGATCTATTTCAGAAATATTTTCTAATTCTCTCAAATAATAAAATAAAAGCATGCACACTTAAATATAGCCTAATAGCAAATGTATTAGCTTGATAATAAAATTAAGTGTGATTTTTCATTTTCCAAATGATAATAAAATTAAGTGTGAAATTTTTCATTTTCCAAATATATATATATATATATATATAGTATATATATATTCAAACCAATAATTGAAAAATCGCTCCAAATTAATTATGTTTCAATAACAGCGTTTAATTAAGTGGTTGACAAGTGCCACCGCGGTAATTAATAGGCGTGGAGAAAATATTTAGCTACATGTGTAAAGTAAAAAACAAGCTTGTCTCAGATAAAATCAATCCTTGGCCATCAACGACCCCAAAAATAAAGAGCCTAAAATCAACCGCCCCACCACTAATTCCTTCCTATATATTCGCATTACAAAAACATTAAATTATTTGTTTTTTTTTTTTTTTTTATATAGTAAATTTAATATTCTTCTTTCCTCCCATACCCATTCATCTAAAAATTCTATTAGGGACCATTTCCTTTCTTTTTTTTTTTTTTTTTTTATATAGTAAATATATTCTTCTTTCCTCCATACCATTCTCTAAAAATTCTATTAGGACCATTTCCTTTCTTTTCTACTACTGTATCTCTTCTTTCTTCTCTGCCACAAACGCGTAAGCCGAAAATATACCTAGAAAGCATTCCTTTTAAGTGGTCACCGAGCACTCAGTCTATGTACATACATACCCATTTTTCGTTTTTATTTTTTTCTGGTCTTTCTCGGTCCCCCTGCGTTGAGTCCACTTCTCTCTTTAGTTTTAATTTCTAGTGCTTAAGCTTGTCTTTTACTTGCTTCTCTTTCCCTTTTCCTCTCAAGAAAATTTTTTCTCTCTGGTACGGCTAACTCCGCGTTCTTGTCTTTTCCATTAGATTCCCGACGCGTTCCAAGACTAATAATAATACTTCCTCCACTTCTTTAAAATATCCCTCTCTCACACAATATTAACAACTAACAACCAAAACCAAACATGCCAACTTATATTCAAAGATAAAAACCAAATTTGATTTCGATGAGAGGATTACCTAAGCATGAGCGCCGTTGGGCGTCGGATACGGTTCCTGGTAAGCTAACCGTCAGTGCCGGAACTTCTCCCGGGACGGAATCCAATTCTGGTGAGGAATTCGTTGAAGTCACACTTGATTTACAGGATGATGACACTATTATCCTACGGAGTGTGGAGCCGGCCACGGTTCTTAATATTGAAGATGGAAGTGGAGCTCTCTCAGCTGGACCAGAAACTCCGGCGTCTGCGTCTGCATCGGTGTCGAGATCACCGTCAACTATCAGACGAAGTTCGTCTAGAAATTTTTTGCAGTTGTCACAGGAGTTGAAAGCAGAGGCGGTGGCCAAAGCGAGACAATTCTCGCAGGAGTTAAAAGCGGAGTTAAGGAGGTTTTCGTGGAGCCATGGACATGCGGCGAAAGTGTTATCGGCTTCGCAGAACAATGGTGGTGGCGGCGGAGGTGGATTCGAATCAGCGTTAGCGGCTCGAGCTTTGAGAAAGCAAAGAGCTCAGTTGGACCGGACACGATCCGGTGCTCAAAAAGCGCTGCGTGGATTGAGATTTATAAGTAACAGAAAAACGAATGGTTTAGATGCATGGAACGAAGTTCAAAGCAACTTCGATAAGCTTGCCAAGGACGGTTATCTTTATCGAGCAGATTTTGCCCAATGCATAGGTTCTTCATTAATTGATCGAACATTTTTTAAATCAATTCCTTACTTCTGAAAATCAATGCCAAATGCTTCAGTTGTTTTTCCTCATTCTATTTTCCGTTTTGAAGGGATGAGAGACTCTAAGGAGTTCGCACTCGAACTGTTTGATGCATTGGGTAGGAGACGGAGATTGAAGGTGGACAAGATCAGCAGAGACGAGCTTTATGAATTCTGGTCACAAATTTCCGATCAAAGCTTCGATTCTCGTCTCCAGATCTTCTTCGACATGTACGCATTAAAATATACAATTAATTTGGAACTTTTGAACTTTATTATTTCATTAATTAATCCATTGTTTTAACATATGTTACTACTGTTCCTTCAAGTAATTAGATCATGCGAGGGTACCGTTAATAAATACCTTCACAGCTTCACAGTTAACAGTGATTGAGATACGCAAGGACAAATCTGTCCTTTTATATTTTCTACAGTTTAATATTTGCTGCTATTACATTAATTGTTTGTGTTACAGGGTGGACAAGAATGAAGATGGTAGAATTACTGAAGAAGAAGTAAAAGAGGTAAAAAAAAAATAAATAAATAAATTTAAAAATCGTGTCTCTCTCGTTATGATTAAATTAAACTAAACTTTTAAAGAAAACTAAGTCCAATCTCTCATTAATTAAAACGGTTTAATCTAACGTGCATGAATTAGCCACCACCACTCTGTCTGGTTCTAACAAAATTTAATTATCCTGTACCAAATTAAAGCGACTCTTATTGGTATGAAGGCTACAGGGTGTCATTTTGATTATACTAATCAACATTAGGCGAGGATTCGGTGACCCTATAACTAAAACCCTGAGATTCTAGTAGTAACTACTCCAATATAATTAAACATTTTTCAATTTTTCTTTGTCTATGACGTTTCCTCTCCTTGTTCATAGCATCTTATCTCTAATTATTGGATATTCATTATTAATCTTCCACAATTAGTGAACTAATTAGGCCTGCATTTTAAGTGCTTGAGGCCGACAGATGGCATCTTAAATTTTTACAAATTTACCTCTCAAGTGGGGTTGGTGGGGGCTTTCTAGTCACTTTCTCTCTTTCTCACTCATGTTTTGTTTTTTATACTCTTTGTAAATTTTGACTCTTGTATGGGAAATTATTGATGTAATTACTGTTTTTGGTACTTGATAAAAAAAATTGTTAGATTATCATGCTAAGTGCATCTGCAAACAAGTTGTCGCGATTAAAGGAACAAGCAGAGGAGTATGCTGCTTTGATCATGGAAGAGTTGGACCCTGAAAGACTTGGCTATATCGAGGTGAGTTCTCTTCGTTCTTCGCTATGTTATTTCAATTTTACTGTGAAATTTGCACTGTCGCGTCGTTTTTAATTTTTTAACGTACATGCAAAGAAAGAACTGCTACAGTCGTATATTCTGGACTATATACAGCGTGGTTTCATTTTTCACACAACTACAAGTTTATACACAGCGTGGTTTCATTTTCACACAACTACAAGTTTTAATTTTGTTTAATCAGAGACATTTTGACTAATAATTTGGTTTTTTAAATTGGTTTGTGGGTTATAACTATATTAATTAATTAATTAATTTTAAAAGTTGTACACCATTTTTTCGTTAGACTTATTCTTCCAAAGTCATTGTTAGGCAAGAGTCATCAATACTTTCAACAGTTGGCTTTCTGTGTTGTTCAACCGTGCACCAAAAAAATTAAGATATATATAGAGGGAATAAAAAAGAATTCTACTGATGGCATATATAATTAAATTGATTAGAATAAGCTTTCTATATTTATTTTCAGGAATATGTGGTAGTTGAACAACTTGGGGTGAACCTTATGTTCTCTTTTTTCCTCTCTATCTTTCTATTTTCTTTCAGAGTGGATATAAACTATCTTTCGAAACTTAAAAAATTACTAGTAATGACTAACTTAAATTTTGTTAGGTTAAAAATAAAGGTTGCGCAATTGGTAAAAAGCTAGGTTTTGGCGACACTAAGAAGCAACACAATTTATGTTGTAAAATTAGTATTACACCGTGTTCAACAAGATCATTTCGGATAGACAAGCTATCATTAGGTCATCACCAACTCCAAAACACAATTAATTTCTCGTGCACCTTCTTTAGTGTAAATGTTTGTTAATTTATTTACTATCATTTGCCTTTTTCTTAATCTTTAAATCAACGTCATTTTATATAATATGCTGTACAAATCTTATTTTAAAAGCATTGATTTACTCCTATCAAAAAAGGAGATAAAAACAAGACTTTGTCATTAAGTACAAAGGGTTATTATTATTATTACTAGGTATACTGAAGTGACTGCATGATATCTATACTTTCTTTTTTTTTTTTTTTTTTTTTTTTTTTTTTTTTTTCTATCAGAAAAAGGAGATAAAAACAAGAACTTTGTCCAATTAAGTACAAAGGGTTATTATTAATTTATTACTAAGGTATACTGAATGATGCATGAATTATCTTATACTTTTCCTTTTTTTTTTTTTTTTTTTTTTTTTTTTTTTTTTGTTGAAAAGGGATATCTTACTTTCATGATAGATTTTTTTTTTTTTTTTTTTTTTTTTTTTTTTTTTTTGTTGAAAGGGATATCTATACTTTCATGATAGATAATTTTCAACTCACATTCCTGCCACGTTAGTTCCTGACATCCATAGTTGGTTACCATGTGAGATAAGGTAATGGGTGCCCTCATGTTATTCTTTTCCCATATATGAGTGCTGGATTGTCCGTCAGTGGTAGTGCAATGAGTTGACATAATCAAAGATCCTCTTGTCCCCTTCATATAATTCACTTGCTGGTGTTCTGTTACACTTTTGTTGTGTACTGAAAATGATATATGCGTGCAGCTATGGCAACTGGAAACGCTTCTCCTCCAAAAGGACACGTATTTAAACTATAGCCAAGCACTAAGCTACACCAGCCAAGCTTTGAGCCAAAACTTGCAAGGACTAAGAAAGAAAGGCCCAATAAGGAGATTAAGCAAGCAGCTAATCTACTTTTTACAAGAGAATTGGAAAAGAATTTGGGTTTTGGCACTATGGGTCATGATAATGATTGGCTTATTCACATGGAAATTCTTTCAATACAAGCAAAAAGATGCTTTTCGGGTCATGGGTTATTGTCTTCTAACAGCTAAAGGTGCAGCAGAAACATTAAAGCTCAATATGGCTCTCATTCTCTTGCCCGTCTGCAGAAATACCATCACCTGGCTCAGGTCCACAAAGTTGGGTTACTTGGTTCCATTTGACGATAACATAAACTTTCACAAGGTACATACCATAGTTAATTACCTACTTCTTCTCTTGCTTTTATTGCTTATGTTGTACGTTTATCCTTGGGTCCCATATTGAAGACTTTATCAAAAAGTCAACAGGAAAGTTGATCTTTGCCATGAAATGAAACGATTAGGAATTTATTCGGTGTATTGAAGTATAGTCATGCGCATATAGAAGATATATCAGATGCTGTAACTGTACACGCAGCAAAAGTTGACAAAGGAATAGCCATACGCATATGTGTTTAGGCAGAGAATTAAAGACGACTTTGTCGGAATGCGGAAAGTGGGGTTAGGAAAAGTTGAATACTGGACCTCAAATTTTCTCCTCTTAATTTACCTTATAATAGAGTTGATGGTCAAACGTAAACACCAATACAATACAGAATTATTGTTTTTGTTAGAGAAATATTCATTTGTATTTTTAAAAATGGAATTTTATAAAGCAATTGGACCAAATAATTAATCAAGCCTATGCTACAATGTCATTTAGCTAGTAGTCTAAAGTGTACAACCCAATAGTTATGTGTTTTCCTAATAATAAGAAAAAGTTAGGAATTTGATACTTTCCAAGGGAGCTTAGATCTACTGCATATGATATCTTTAGTTTTTGCCCTTATGGTTGATGAAGAGAGGCTTTATAATTAAGAATTATAGTAGTTTTCCCCTCAAATTCAAGTTGGATAAGCTCACTGCAATTGCTTTTGGTATCATAAAGTTGCCGAAAATGATAATTGGACCTCAACTAGGTAGTGGTCCTTGGTTTTAATTTAAAAGCTTTCTTCGGCCAGCTAAAGTCCAAAATCCTACCATTTAAAGAGAAGGCATAATTTATAAGTGCGAAGGTTGATCAAAACGACAAAAAAAACTGGCTAGTTCATGTATCCTTTATTTTTGGTGAATAGTTAATGCATCCTCTTTTTCGTGACAGACGTCATCACATGCACTCTTGCATTGGTCTGGATTTTCATTCAGGTGATGGAAGTATCCATCTGATCATCAAAATGTTATTATGACTTATGACTTAATTTGTGTTTGGTTATATAGTGAGCAAGCATTTTTTTTTTCCTGGTGACATGCACTTTAGCAATCCTTAATGAAGAAAAAGACATTGCACATACATTATTCTTGGGAATTAATAGGAGAATTATATTTTAATAATTGTAATTGCAATAATCAACGATGGACTAGATTAATTTATCTGTTAATCTCCTTAATTGATTCTTGTATATATGCAGACTATTGCAGCTGCAATTGTAATTGGTGTCATTCTCCATGCTGGAAATCACCTTGCCTGTGATTTTCCAAGGCTTATAAACTCATCTGATAAAGACTATGATGATTACTTGAAAAATGATTTTGGAGGACATAAGCCCACATATGCTAAATTGGCAAGAGGGGCTGAGGGCGTGACGGGAATTCTAATGGTTATCTTCATGGCAATTGCATTTACTCTTGCGACTCGATGGTTCAGGCGAAGTCTTATTAAGTTTCCAAAACCTTTTGATAGACTCACTGGGTTCAATGCATTCTGGTATTCTCACCATTTATTTGTCTTTGTATACATCCTGCTCATCATTCATGGAGTATTCCTCTATTTGGTGCATAAATGGTACCTAAAGACGGTACAGTTCACAATCTTTTCTTTCACATCAAGGATTAATTTCTTTTACTGTCCTGTAGAATGTAAATTGAGGTTAAATTCATCTCTGCAGACATGGATGTATCTTGCTGTTCCAGTTTTACTTTATGCTGGAGAAAGAGCCCTGAGATTTTTTCGTTCTGGCTTTTATACTGTCCAGCTTCGGAAGGTATGATAACATACAAGAAGCCTACCGTAATATGTTTCTTGTCCTAACTCTGGCTGTTTTTAAGTTGATATCAGCATGACAGGCCATAAAGTCAACCAGTTTGTAGCGTCTCGGTTCGGTTCATTCGGGTTAACGGGTGGACCGGGAAGGGATGTTACAGTTACAAGTTCAAACTTTTTATAATGCATTGTCTCCTCACATTAAGATTACTCTGGATGCAGCTACAGGAGGATCTTTTGAAAGAAAAGAGATCGATGAGGCATATGATTTGATAGAAGAAATGGCAAGCAATAGTCATTATCAAAGCACCTCCGAGAGGAGGAAAACTGCAGGAATTTATGAGATTGATGCCATCATCACGCTGAACGCCAAGGTAGACAATATGGTAAGAAAGTTAGACTTATTGACTACTAACTCTGTGAATTCCATTGTACAAGCTTGTGAAAGATGTAATGAACAACATGGGATTGGAGAATGAATGTTAGCATCTGTAAATCCACAAACTTTGGAGCAAGCAAACTATGTGATGAATCAAGGAAGGAGAAGTTACCCGTATAACTCTTATGATAATAGGTTGAGAAATCATCCTAATCTTTCATACAGAAATCCAAATAACACCTTTAATGCACCACCAGGTTCCCTACCTCTAGAGAAAAAGTCTCATGATGATCTCCTTATTGCGCCCTCTCTAAATCGCACATGGATTTCATGAACGAAACCCGAGAAAATAATAAAATCCAACAAGCTACGATAAGAAACTTGGAGATTTAGCTAGGACAATTTGCAAACATGATGGCATCCCGACCCTAAGGTACGTTACCTAGTAATACTGAGAAAAATCCTAAAGAACAGGTACAAGCCATTACCTTGAGGAGTGACAAATAGTTGGAGGAAACGCCTAGGATTGAGAGAGAAAAGGAAGAGCAGAGAAAGGTTCCCATCATTGACCTAGAAGAGAAGGAAGAAGTGAAACCTTAGGTTCCACCTGTCCTTTTTCCACAAAGGTTAAAGAAGACACAAGACGACAAAAGTGTCCTCAAATTTCTTAACGTCTTCAAAAAGCTTCAAATTAACATACCTTTTGCTGAAGCTCTTGCTCAAATGCACAGCTATGCAAAATTCTTAAAGAAATCCTGAGTAAGAAAAGAAGGATCGATGATCAAGGAATGGTTATGTTAATAGAGGAGTGTAGTGCAATCATTCAGAATAAATTGCCTCCTAAATTAAAGGATCCAAGAAGTTTTTCTATCCCTTGGAATATTGGAAATCTTAATTTTGAAAAAGCTTTAGCAGATTTAGGAGCTAGCATAAATCTTATGTCTTATGAAGTTTTTAAGATGCTAGGAATGGGGAGCTAAAACCAACCAGGATGTCTCTGCAGTTGGCAAATCGATCAATCAAATATCCGAAAGGGATTGTAGAAGACGTGCATGTTAAGGTAGGAAAATTCATTTTTCCTGTTGATTTTTTGATTCTTGACATTGATGAAGGTAGAGAAGGATCCTTAATCCTTGGAAGACCCTTTCTTGCAACTGCAAGAGCATTGATTGATGTGCATGAAGGAAAATTAACCTTAAGGGTAGGTCAAGAGGAGGTTGTATTTGATGTTTGAAATCCTGTAAACTTCCTATGGATTATGATTGTAATACCCACCAACCAATCCCGGAGAACTAGACGGCGGATGCCACAATCGATGCCGGAGCACTGTCTTATGTCACTTATTAAAGCTAGTTCACAAATTAGAAGTGGTTAAATTTTCATAAGGAGGCAAGTAATTAACATTTTGTTTTTTCACCTGTCTTGGCTAAAGAACTCAGCAAGCTCTGCTATGAGTTTAATCAAAAGGGTTCCACCAAGTTTGAGTTTCACAAAGAGCATTTCTAAAGAGACAATTGGGGGTGCGTATATAACTATCTTTCAATACACTTTCAGTCCTGAATTCTAACCCTGCACACTAAAGAATTCTACAATAATTTTACCCACGAAGCATTTGTACAGTATTGGGTATAAAAGGATAAAAAGGGAAGCGCCCCCTAAATAGAGGTAATAAACAAATCTATTCAGTAGCTTATATTAATAGAAGCAGAGAAGAAAACAAATCATTTTGGCTAATGAGATGGCTAAGCCTAAGGGTTGCAGCGATAAACCATTGCCAATTTAGTGCTAGAGGAAGAGCTAAAGCGATTTCTGGGGTGGAAGAGTGCGTATATACATGCCAAAAATCACCATTTACAAAATATCCTACCCAAAATGTGATATCTACTCTGATGCTACTCCTCTGGTCTTGAAGAACACCCTCCGCTCCGAACCTGCGCGTGATAAAAATCAACGCGCTGAGTGGAAGACTCAGTGGTGCTAAATAACCAACAATTTAATTAACAAGAATAGCCAAGGCAAATTTTAAATTACTCAACTATATAAATACCGAAACCGCATTCATTTAATTCAAATACTTTGAAAGCAATGAGAATATTATAAATACAAATATGTCTCCATTCTTTTATAGCAACAATAAAATTTCATTTTTTTGTTAAGGCTCGTACTCATGCAGAATGAACATAAGCAAATTTGATCGTGGCCTATATTAGCGCCACCCTATTGGGGGCCCGGATGGAAAGCACCACCGTGGCATGAAAGCACCACCCCCATCACACAATCGCGCCTATGAAAGCACCACCGTGGCTATTGAAAGCACCACCCATCACACAAATAAGCGCGTCCGCCTATGTATAGAGGGCGATAACCCTAGCATATGATCATAGCTTCACAAACAAAAGTCGCATCTGCGATGCACTACCCCGTCTCAGATCATGCCATAGAGAGCCCAAATCAAATGCATTCTTGCACAAAATAGCAATAATTCTTATATCCAAAACCTCTTCAATAATAAAAACTTAATTTAAACTTAAGTAATTCATAAAAATTCTCATACTTAAACAAAATGACTTAACATAGAAAAATTCCAGCATAAAAATGACATTGACCCTTGCTGTGTTTTTAACACATAACTTGAGTTATGGGTCTCCAAATTAAATGAAATCAGATTCATTAGAAAGCTAAGACAAAAAGCCTACAAATGTTATGAAGGGATCACAGCCCAGATCAATATGGAAAATAACAAAACAAAGCTAGGAACACAAACTAACAGACCGGACCTGATTCAGCAGAACCAAGTCTATTTTTTATTGAATTCCTACTAAACCAAATACTCAAATTAAACCAATCCAGAACGAGAGAATTCTCAAGACACAGGGAAACAACCTTTATGAAGAACTCAGAGCCCATACAATTTAGCCATTAAGTTGCCTATGTATCTCCAAATTGGATACAAGAGGATGGGTTGAAAGATAAGAAGTAAAGCTTTTTATTTTTAAGACGTTATTTTGCCATTTGAGTGGTCATAAATGGACAATCATTTCGTTATTTTAGACACCATAAAAGAACCAGTCTTTGGTTTATATATTAGCTAAAAGTATTGGAAATTAGACATAAAAATATGTTTTGGGGAAAGCTGCAAATTAGAGCTACAACTTTATGAAGAAAGGTCTTTAGAAATATTTCGAAAATGTGAGTTCCAATCCCACTCGGCAGTTTTTTAAAATTCATTCAATTTTCTATTACAAAAGTTCCCAAAATAGATTCAAAACCCTAAACCATGTAAAAACAAATTAAACATTTTTTTTTTATTATTTGCACTAACCTTATTAACCAAACTTTTTACTCCTTGGCTTTCTCTTTACCCTTTGAGGCATGGTTCTCACCTTATTTGAATAATCAAAATTAAAAGCAAAACTGACTATAAAAGAAATATTTTGGAGCATTGGATTTAATTGCATTCTTTTAATAACAGTCTAAACCTATGATCTAGTCCCTTAACAATTCACTAAAACTCAAAAAACCACAACTTACATTTTTGGTTACCTTTTACTTCTCTTTGTTTCACCAATTCTCAACTTTTTACTTAATTCTTAAGGGAATTAAGTCCCCTATTCTATGGTTTTTTTTGGTGGTAAAATTTGTTGAAAATGAAGAAAATTTCTTTTAAGGAAGAACATGGGAAATGGCGTTTGTTGAGAAGAGTTATTTTTTAAAGAAATTTGTTACTTTAAGTTTGCCAAAGTCAAAATTTTGACCTTCCTAAAATCATGCCAAATGTCGTGGCTACAAGGATTCAAGTCCTACAGTATCTCATCCATGGCTCTAAATATTCCTCAAATTAATTCTTTTCTACTTCTTATTTAACTCCCTCAATTAATAAATTAACTCCACTAAAATACTTTCCTTCATTTTTTTTTTTATATACCACACTTAGAATTTATGCATTTAGACATAAAACGCTCCAATAATATTTAATTAAATATTTTTTCTTACCTGCCTTAAATCATGCAAACTTGACATTGATGAAGGTAGAGAAGGATCCTTAATCCTTGGAAGACCATTTCTTGCAACTGCAAGAGCATTGATTGATGTACATGAAGGAAAATTAACCTTGAGAGTGGGTTAAGAGGAGGTTGTATTTAATGTTTTAAAATCTTGTAAACTTCCTATGGATTATGATGATTGTTTTAGGATTGATGTTATTGATGAATGTATAAAGGACACTCTGCATATTAAAGATAATAATAACATTAATCCAAGCATCATAGATGAGAAGGAAAGTGAACCACCAAAGCAAGAACTGAAACAGCTTCCATCTCATTTAAAACATGCATTCTTAGGTGAGAATAATTCTTTTCCTTTTTCCTGTTATATTTCTTCTTTACTTAACACTTGATCTTACTTAACACTTGATCAAGAGAACTTCATCACACATG